ATTTTCTACCTTGAATCCTAGTTTATTGTGACTACAGCTTGTAAAATTTCAGGATATGGCTGAATTAAAATCTTGGTCCTTCACTCAAGTAGCTCTTTGAATTGCAATTTCTTATCCCAGTTATCTTACCCCAATTTCTTATCCTTTCATTCCACAGTGAAGTCTATATCATGGCACATAATAAGAGACTTTATTGTTTTAATTTACCAAGTACCTATTTACCTTTCATGATTTCATTTAGCCTTCATAATATCTGTTGCTCTCATTGCCTCACATTCAATAGGGTGACTTTTAATACCATTCTATTATTTCGATCAATTTGTATAATATATTCTTTCCTCCGTGTTTGATAAAGCTGTGTGGGCTTGTTTTTTGAGACGGAGTCTCGCTGTGTCACCCAGGCTGGAGTGCAGTGGCGTGATCTCAGCTCACTGCATCCTCCACCTCCCAGCTTCAAGCGATTCTCCTGCCTCAGTCTCCCGAATGGCTGGGATTACAGGCACACACCACCATACCTGACTAATTTTTGTATTTTTAGTAGAGACAGGGTTTTGCCATGTTGGCTAGGCTGGTCTTGAACTCCTGACCTCAAGGGATCCACCCACCTCAGTCTCCCAAAGTGCCGGGATACAGGCGTGAGCTACTGCACCCAGCCTCCGTGCTACTTTTAAGGATATATATATCTGATTTTTTTCTGTTTTTCTTATAGTTATTCTTTATTCAGGTATTCTACTTTTCTGGGATCAACTTTAGTAATTTGTATGGAAAAGTCAACATTTTGTCTACATTTGCAAATATATATCACAAATACACATCATTTTAATATATTCCATATCTAATATAACTTATGTGCTTTTTCAATATTAAGCTTACAGAAGGACTAACTCTAATTTTCAGAGAACAGCCTTTGGTTTTATAAATCCCATTTTGGTGGAATAGGAAGGTATGATCTGTTTCATTGACTATGCTTTCATCTTAATTTATTCCTTCTAATTTCCACAAGTTTTTGTTGTGTTCCTTTATTGGCTTTTGAGTTAAAAACTTACTTCTCTGTCTGTCACCCAGGCTGGAGTGCAGTGGCACA